GCTGCCCGTAGCGCCCTACCCCACCAGTCGCGCTGCCCTGCCCTGCCCTACCTGTCGCGCTGCCCTGCTGGCTGCGCACTGCCCTGCCCTGCCCATCGCACCGCCCTGCTTATCGCGCGCCGCCCTCCCCTGCCCGTCGCGCTGCCCTGATAGCGCCGCGCCGCCCTGCCCTGCCCGCGCGCCGCCCTGCTGGCCGCCGCGTCACCCTGCCCTGCCCGCGCGCCACCCTGCTGGCCGCCGCACCGCCCTGCCCTGCCCGCGCGCCGCCCTGCTGGCCGCCGCACCGCTTTGCCCTGCCCGCGCGCCGCCTTGCTAGCCGCCGCGTCGCCCTGCCCTGCCTGCGCGCCGCCCTGCTTGCCGCCGCACCGCCCTGCCCTGCCCGCGTGCCGCCCTGCTGGCCGCCGCCCTGCCCTGCCCTGCCCGCACGCCGCCCTGCTGGCGGCCGCCCTGCCCTAGCCGTGCATCGCCCCGCCCTGCCCTGCGCGCTTCCCTAGCGCTTGCGTGCCGCCCTGCCCGTCGCACTGTCCTTGCTTGTGTGCTGCCATACTACTCGCGCGCCACCCTGCTCTGCTCGCTATGGCTACTCTCAGCATTCTCACATTTGATCCTGAGGGTCGTCCGATCCAGTTCGAAACGTGGCTCGATGATTTACAGCTCTACCTACTGAGCGATTCTAGAGATAGCGTTTCGTTCTTTGACCATACGTTTGGAGCCTCTCTCGCCCCTCCCGACACAGCTGACAATGCGACTCGCTCACAGTGGCTTACCCGTGACGCTGCTGCTCGCTTAACCGTTCGTAATCACCTACCGTTAGCTGAACGCGCTCACTTTGGCCAGCACAAGACTGCTAAAGCCATGTATGACGCTGTAGTCGCTCATTACTCTTCCCCTGCCGTCTCCTCTTGCGTCCTCTCTTGCTGACGGTCCGGACCCTGAGTCTAACTTCGTTCGTGCTGCCAGTCCTACTGTCACACGTCTTCTAGCCACTGTTGTCACTAACCCTTCGTTTGAGTCCGCTGCTACGTCTGCCCTAGTTGCTTAGCTTATTGACTTTGCTGCTGCCTATCGTCTCGACTACGCCGTTAGTCTTGTTGCTGAGTCTGAATCTGACTGTCCTCCGTCCGTCGGGGGTGATTGTGCTCTTGGCACGGACATCCTTGAGGACAGGCAGGAGGACTTTGAGTGTCTTGCAGCTGTTGTACCTCATCTCGTGGCCATGCTGCTTGCACCTGAGAGAGACCCGGGTGCACCAGACATCCCGACCCCGCGCTCTTACGCAGAGGTGATTACGGGTCCCTACTCCTCTCAGGGGCAGACAGCCATGGACGCAGAGATGGTATCCTGGAAGTCCACATGCACCTACGTCGACGCAGTTCCCACTTCTGGGGCGAACATAGTCGATGGCATCTGGATCTTCAGGGTGAAGCGGCCGCCAGGTTCTCTGCCTGTCTTCAAGGCTCGTTACGTTGCATGAGGCTTCAGTCAGCGACAAGGAGTTGACTTCTTCCAGTCCTTCTCCCCTACCCCGAAGATGACCACTCTTCTGGTTCTGCTGCACGTCGCCGCTCAGCGTGACTACGAGCTGCACTCTCTTGACTTCAGCACAGCTTTCTTACAGGGTAACCTGCACGAGGAGATCTGGTTGCGCCGTCCACCTGGCTTCACTGGGTCGTTTCCTGCAGGTACCCAGTGGAGCCTCTGGCGGCCAGTCTACGGTCTCCGCCAGGCGCCTCGCGAGTGGCACGACACACTGAGGATGACACTTGCGGCTCTTGGGTTTGCTCCTTCGACTGCTGACCCGTCGCTGTTTCTACGCACCGACACTTCGCTGCCGCTGTTCTACGTCCTCGTGTACGTCGATGACTTGGTCTTTGCCACTGCTGACACTGAGGCACTGGCCCTTGTGAAGTCGGAGCTGCAGAAGAGACACACCTACACTGACCTGGGTGAGCTGCGTAGCTATCTTGGCTTGCAAATCACCCGGGACAGAGCATGGCGCACCATCACCCTGACTTAGTCACACATGGTGCACCAAGTCCTTCAGCGCTTCAGCTTCCGGTACTCCTCGCCACAGTCCACTCGCTCTCAGCTCCACCTTCGGACGAGTCCGTAGAGCCGAGTGGCCCGTATCCAGAGCTTGGGGGCTGCCTCATGTACATGATGACCTGCACTCGACCTGACCTTGCCTACCCTCTTAGCATCCTTGCACGCTACATTGCGCCCAGGAGACACCGACCAGAGCACTGGGAGGCCGCCAAGAGGGTGTTGCGCTACTTGTGCAGTACATCGGGCATGGGGCTCGTGCTTGGAGGACGGGGCCCAGTTGTCCTCACTGGACAAGCAGACGCTTCTTGGGTTGACGACTTAGCTACGCAGCGGTCGTCACAGGGTTACACTTTCAGCCTTGGCTCTGGCTCTGTTTCTTGGCGGTCTACCCGCTCGTCTTCTGTTCTCAGTTCCAGTTGTGAGGCTGAGATCTATGCAGGGGCCATGGCTGCACAGGAGTTACGTTGGCTCACCTACCTGCTGACCGACTTGGGAGAGCGGCCTCGTTCTTCTCCAGTTCTGTACGTAGACAACAAGGCCATGATTTCCTTGTGTCAGGAGCACAGACTGGAGCACAGAACGAAGCACATCGCTCTGCGTTACTTCCTTGCTCGAGAGTTGCAGCAGCGTGGTAAGCTTTGTCCTGCTTACGTGGCCACTCGGGCCAACACTGCTGATATATCCACCAAGGCACTTCAGCCTGGTGATCATCAGCGGGTCTGTACTGTTTTGGGCCTTGTGCCTACTTTGCCTCAATTGCTCACTGCGTGACTTTGCTTGTACTGTGATCTATATAGATATACCTGCATGCTTACCCCTGCTACGTTATGATCACTGTACTGTTTGTTCTCGTTTATATAATTCTGCATGTGAACTGGCCTTGTGGCCATTTGCTTGTGCTCAGAGTGTGTGGTGTGGTGACTTTGTGATCCACCCTGAGCTTGCTTTGCTTTTTCTTGACTAGTCTTGTGACCTCCTATTCTTCCTCACTTTGCCTATGGGGGTGTGTCAAACTCTTATAATGTTTATATTGTGTAGGCTGTAGTGGGGTAGCCCATAAGTGTTAAACATAAAGAGTAGGGCCTAGGCTTAGTAGCCTAGGCCAAGGGGAGTCGAGGTGGTTTGTGCCAAGGAGGGGGAGACGAGAATGAGTGGCTTCACTATAGGTTTGCAAGAACATATAGCAAAGGAACAAAGAAGGTGCACCACCAAACAAAGTTTATAATAACTACACTAACTACAGCTACAGGCAGTTACAGATATATTCTAACATTCCCCCATAACTGCCTGCAGCAGGAGTCTGTGCAGCGACACATCCTGAATGGGTACACCACGAACTGAGAAAACAGCAACAGCAGGCAAGGTAACAAAGCAGGTACAGCAGCAAAGGGGCAGGCACTCCTGCCACCCCTTTACTCTCCTCCCCCCCCCCCCCCACCTCAGAGGGATGGTGGCTGGATGTCTCACACCCGCCACCCCAATGCCACTCCCCTGGCTCCCCCACCCCCTCACACCCTCCCCCCAGCGGCAGCTGCAGCAGTGGGAACGAAAGGAGGAGGAGGGGAAGTGAAACATACTACCCATCACCCCCATACCCGCCACCTCCATACCCTCCCCCCCACGGCTGCACGCGCAGCAGGGAGAAGAAGGAGGAGGGGGGGGGGGGGGGGGGGGGGGGGGGGGGGGGGGGGGGGGGGGGGGGGGGGGGGGGGGGTGGCGGGGAAGAAGCCGCCCCACGGCCACAGAGGGGTGGCGCACAGGGAAGGGGAGGGGCGGCTGCACCGAGTGCAGGCGCATGTGAGGCAGGGGCGGCTGCTCCGAGGGCAGGCGCGGGTGAGGGGTGAGGCAGAGGCGCCGTCGCGGGCGCCAGGGGCGGGTCCGCGGCGGCTCAGGGCACCGTCGCGGGCGCCAGGGGCGGGTCCGCGGCGGCTCAGGCCACCGTCACGGGCGCCAGGGGCGGGTCCGCGGCGGCTCAAGGCACCGTCGCGGGCGCCAGGGGCGGGTCCGCGGCGGCTCAGGGCACCGTCGCGCGCCACGGGGCGCACGACGGGCAGGCAGGCAGGCAGGCAGGCAGACGCCGCGCGCCCGGGGCGCACGGCGGGCAGAAAACCGCCGTGCGCCCCGAGCACACAGCGGGCAGAAAATCGCCGCGCGCCCGAGGCGCGCGGCAGGACGACATGCAGCGGAAGCAAACTGGTGGGCCCGTTAAGGAAGGCAGCAGGAAGGTGCCTGCTCTGATACCATGTTAAACATAAAGAGTAGGGCCTAGGCTTAGTAGCCTAGGCCAAGGGGAGTCGAGGTGGTTTGTGCCAAGGAGGGGGAGACGAGAATGAGTGGCTTCACTATAGGTTTGCAAGAACATATAGCAAAGGAACAAAGAAGGTGCACCACCAAACAAAGTTTATAATAACTACACTAACTACAGCTACAGGCAGTTACAGATATATTCTAACAATAAGGGGTACAACCCAATTAGGGTTAGTACTTGTACCAACTTTCTTCTCAATGCAATCATTCCCTCGTCTAGTTTCTGACGGGGATGAGAAAGAAGGAAGAGGAGAGAGCGAAGGAATGACACCACAGTTTGTTGTGTGATATACCACATTCAATCAATATTTCTATCCAAGTTCTACCAATAAATAATAAACTGTTTGCGCACCGCTAGTGCACTAGCTATCTGCATCTAACTTGGCTGGGCATTGTCCCATTTAAGGGGCATAGAAGAATGCCAAATGTGTTTAGCACCCTCAAATATGGTACAAGGCTACCAGGCTGCTTCAGCAGCACCGTGATGCCATCAGCAACGAAGCTCCACTTCCTTGAACCAACACCACCATCACCAACATGCCTTTTCAGTCAATGCCTGAGCACAATTTTCCAGTAATGCTCCTTGATGCCAAGTGTCCACAATGGTTCTTCCGTGCCTGCTTCATTCCTCTCCGCCAAACAACCATTCAAGGCCTCCATGGAGGTCTTTTTGCCGCAACCTTGGTGGTCCTGGTAGGCCCTTTCCCCGACCTAGCAGAGACAAGACGACCCCCTTTGCTCTCTTGCTGCTGTGCTGTGCTGCTCCCTGAAGACTCTTGCCTGATAAGCACAACTCGCTGTGCTTCCGCTGCCTTCTCCTTCTCGTCAACTGCTTTTCCGCCTGCTCGTGTGATGCATGGCCTGGGAATCCGCGAAGGGAGCTCCCTCGCATTACCAGCTGCCATTCGCCTCACAGGTTGCTGGACAGCAGAAGACTCGCGCGTGCTCGAGTCCATGTTTTCACCACCCATCGTCTTCACACGCACACCGGATGGCTTCAACGCACTGTTGCTGCAGTCAGCGCTCACACCGCTGCACTCTTCGCTGCAGCAGCTGGTGCTGCTCGAGTCACTCGAGGTGCTGCCGATGCTGCTGAACGACGTCATGGTGCTAATCGGCGAGCACTGCGGCGTGCTGTTGTTTTCGTTACAAGCGACGGTGTTGCTGGTGTCGTCGGTGCTGGGACTGCCTTGCTCGCGCTCCTTGTCCTCGCACACGGAGTTACGCGCGTCATTGTCGTCTGCAGCCGCGCATTGAGTCGCGGAGGCCACCGGTGCTTTCGCCTGGGACTGCTTTACAGAACCGCGGGACTTCCAAAGGCTCAGCGCTGCAGCGAAGGTTGGGTATTCTGCGGACGAGGAGACGCAGGAAAACACACCAGTGACTGCCATTGACAGCTGGTGAAACTGGACTCAGGAGGAAGTTGAATGCTCAAATTGCACAGCTCAGGTGCTTGCGAGGTGGTTGCTAGGATAGAGAACAAGAGAAGACTGAATGTGAGAACTCGAACTTGCTGAGGATAGAAGAACAAGGGAACTCTGAATGTGGAGAGCAGCGGGAGTGCGGATATGTAGATGCGGTGAAGGTGGGAGAGAGGGGTGGTGGGGGGATTGTGGAGGAGAGAATGAAGAGGGGCGAAACAAGCTCCTTCTCGCACTGGTGCCGAGCCAGTGGCTCCGATGATTTCTGAGGTCTGTGCCGACATGCTGCCCAGCCTGGAATTTTGATATAATAAATCTTCCGGAACCAATCTACGAGCAGAACTTTTTCCCGGTGGAGGTTTGGGAAGGAGCTGTGGCACAGGAACTTTGTCATCTGCTGCCCCTTGCGGTAACGCGGCTCCCCGCGAACGCGAGGCCTTCACGGTGCGAAGACGAAAAGGCTCTTCGCGATTCGCGAAAGGGAAGACAAGCACTAGCGAGAAAAAGGAAGAAACGCATCACCTTTCGCCAGTTTCTAGAAACGGCGCCCAAATCTCGAGGTCCTACCCATGAGTTGCCCCAAACGCTGCGCGAAAACATCACTGTGGTGGTGATCTTGCAAGAGAGCCATCGTTGGACATTTGAAGCCCTGCAGAGCGGAACTCTCGGAGGGAAGATGAAATTGATGGTGATGCTCAGGAGATATTGCATTGCACTAATAACGATGTGGAATTACACTTATGGTATAGACCAACGTGTATAGCTGTAGATATCTGCAATTTAGTTGGGCATAAGGCAGGCATACAATCGCCCAACATTGAGGAAGTTCGCAAACTGTTTTTGCCTTAGCGCTGCTTTTGCGACACTACCGAACATCAAATTGTCTGAACCCCAACCAAGCGTTGACTCAGTTTTTGTCATTCAGGTCTAGCCCTTTAAGAACCATTTATAAATTAACATGCCACGGTTTCCACAGTATCTCAATCTGGTACAATATGACCTTATTATTGCTAAATAAATAAGCACAATCACTAACGGGATAGGAACAGGGAATGATTGCTCCTCATCCCAAAAACAGCAGCTGCAGCACATGCAGCTACTGCCACAATCAACACTCCACTTGCATACGCAGCTGTTTGTGAGTCCCATGAAGGCGCAACACCCCACATGCTCTTATCCGACGAGTCACATGGTTGGCTTTGCGCACAGAAACCGCATTCTTCATGGGAGCATCTCTGTATACCAATCCCACTTGCACCTTCACCTTCCCTGCTCCCTCCACCAGGGCATCCAATAAAATCATTAGACTTAGCTCCATATACCTGCTGTTGCTGCTGCTGCTGCTGCTGCTGAGTGCGTGATGTGGAGGGAGGAGGCGGCGAGTGGGAAGAAGCAGGAGTGGATGGATGGGGGGCGACAGCAGCAGCAGGGAGGGTGTTGCTAGTAGAGCTGGGAAGGTGCTTGGAAGGTGTTGGAGGGGTGTGTGTGGTGTCTATGTATAGACGGAGAGGCGGCCGAGACTGAAGTGGGTGAGGGCAGGGGGAGGTTTGCCGGGGAAAAAGGGGAATTCGCAGGACATGGGGAGAAGAGAGGAAAACACAATGAAAGGGAAAACGATGAGCGGCTGAGAAAGGCAAGATGGACGAGCGAGTGGGAGAGGGTGAGATACAGAGAGCGCGAGAGGATGAAAGTAGAGTAGAGAATATGGCAGGAAAGCCCATTTGTGAAGCACGAACGCAGTAAGGGCACATCATGTCATCCCACCTCTACCATGCCGTACCACCGTACCATGCCATCTCTGAAACCCTACAGTACCACACTGTACCTGGGAGCGGTGACCAGCAGCTGCAGCAGCAGCAGCAGCGAGGGCAACACGCAGGTCATCATCTGAGTCCAGCACCACCCGATCGCCATCCTCGTCCATGTACTGGCATGGGGGGAGGGTCCGAAGGGGGGAGGAGTGGGTGCAAGATGACTTCAGCCTCTGAGAGCAGCACGAGTCAAGAACCCATCTCCTCTGACAGGTCATCATCTGGCGACAGGCATAAGTTAAGACCATGTTTGTCTGACTCCAGAACCACCAGGTCCACATACTCATCCATGTACTGCTGTGGCATGGTGGCATGATAATGAACAAATAATTGACGCCACAGGCCCTAAACAAATACGGAGGGCAGACGTGTAGCACATGGCAAGCACAGGAGCAGAGCACATACGAGGACGGTGGGCGGGTTGGTAGGATCGTAGTCCCATGCCAGTCGTGCTGCCACCACACTCATCAGATCCGACAGCGACTCACATGCTGCCACGTGTACATGGAAGAGAGTGGATGGGGGGATCAAAGGGGGTGGGGAGGGAAGCGGAAGATGAGGGAAACTGTGCAGTAGACATGGTGTTTATGCGAGTTATGAGATGTCTCAAACCATGCGCATGAGACATGGTGCTGATGGTGCTGTTGATGCTGCTGAGGGTCTTTGTGGTGTGCAGAGGCATGAAACACAGGCATGCAGCAGACAGCAGGCTTTAGACAAGGTGCCATGATGTGAAAAAAATGTTGAGTGTGGGCGCATGCGCATCCAACCCCCACGCCCAGCCACCTACCCCATGCGCATTCACTCACCGCACATGAAGGGGTGTACTGTGTACAGGACCTTGGTGGTCTGTGGGCTTGAATTGAACGGAAGCAAAGAACCCATGCGCACACCCCGTGTGACAGTCTCGCCAGAGCATGCATCCACCCACCTTATGCCCACCCACTCACCACACATGAAGCGGTGCACGTGTTTTCAGTGGTCTGTGAGCTTGAACGGCAGCAAACAACTCATGTGTGTGCGTCCCCCATGTCATTCTAACCAGGACATACACAGACACCCCATGCGCATCCCACCCACCCCCCACGCCCACCCACTCACCGCACATGAACCGGTGCACGTGCCCGCGGTGGTCCGTGAGCTTGAACGGCAGCAGAGCCACGGAGGAGCACACAGACGCACACGAGGGCGTGCTGCAGCTGCTGCAGCCCGTCATAGGAGTCACGGCTCCACGCGCAGTCGCAGCGGCAGGAGGAGGAGCAGTAGCAGTGGCAGTACCAGGCCTAGCTATGGATCCTGCTGCTGGTGCCGCTGATGTGGTTCCTGCTGAGAAAGGAGGGCCACGGAAGGGCGAGGAAGGTCGGGCTTCATTGATGCTGCTGTTTGTGTTGTTGTTGGTGTTGCGGGGGGGAGCGGTGTTGGGCCGTGGCACGTGCAGCAAGGGGAGCTGTTTCTGGAACCTTCTAGGGCTATCAAGCACAAGCTGCTGTTGCTGCTCCCAATGCTGCTGTTCGTGGTGCTGCTGCTGCTGCTGTTGGTGGTGGTGCTGCTGCTGCTGCTGCTCCCACCGGTGCTGTGACTGCAGCAGCTGTTGCTGCTGCCATATCTGCTGCTGCTGCTGTTCCCAGTGCCTCTGTGCCTGCAGCAGTTGCTGCTGCACCTGCTGCTGCACCTGCTGCTGCTCCATTACCCACTGCTGCTGTTGCCCCCCGCTGTTGTGCACTGGCATCACATGCTGCGAGCCTTGTTGCGGCATGCCTTGTCCACTGTTCATAGCCATCCCATGCACAGTATGCGGTGGTGCATAATCATTACCATACGCACCAGCAAACCCACCAACACCAACTGCACCAGCCGTGCCACCAGCAGCACCAGCAGCAGCAGAAGCCATGCTCTTCCCTCCATAAAACCCTCTGGGCTGATGAAACGCAGCAGTACCAGCAGCGGCAGCAGCAGCAGCAGCACCAGAAGCACCAGCAGCAGAGCGAGGGAAGTGAGGGGGGAAGCCGCCAGCAATAGAGAGCTCCTCCCCTCCCCCCTCATACCCATCCTCTGCATCCTCACCCTCCCCCACTGTCCCTGCCTCTGTGTAAATGTCACTCCATGCATCAAAGGTAGAGCGGGAAGCAGCACGAGTGGCAGCAGTGGCACCACCAGCAGCACCGGCATCAGCAGCAGCAGCAGCACCAGCAGCAGCAGCAGCACCACCAACAGCAGTATCACCACTAGCATCATCAAGAGCAGCACGATTCACATCAGAGGGGTTCTGCCTCCTGTGCCCTCCACCTTCCTCGGCCTCCTCCTTCCCCAACCCCTCTCTTCTCCCAACACCCCTCCCTACATTCCCCCCAGCCGTAGCCTCAACTCTATCTTCCTCCTCCACCTCTCCCCCAATTTTCTCCCCCGGCCCTTCACTCTCCTCCCCCTCACTCTCTCCCTCCCCCTCACTCTCTCCCTCCTCCTCACTCTCCCCCTCCTCCTCCTCACTCTCCCCCTCCTCCCCCTCGTCCTCCCCTTCCGCTCCTTCTAGAGCCGAGCCCCACACGTGCTGCATCGCCCCCTCCACTGCCTCCTGCATGGCCACAGGCAGCTGCTGCGCCTGCTGCTGCAGTGGGGAAGAGTGAAAAACGGGGACAGGAATGAAGAGGGTGGGAATAAGAAGGGGTGGAGATGTGAGTTGTGAGCTGACTTACAAGGGCCGAGCCCCTCACACACGTGCAGCTTGCCCCCTGCACTGCTTCCTGCGCGCCCGCCGGCAGCTGCTGCGCCTGCTGCTGCAGCGGGGGAGAAAGGCGCGGAGATGGGGAGGAGCGACTACCACCTTGTACCTTTTGGGGTACTTCGAGGCACGTTACAACAAGACATGAAGAGAGAAACGGTGGGGTAGGGAAACCAGTAGGGAAACCGGTAGGGAAACCGGTGGGGAACGGTACGGGAGGAGCGGGTGGGGAATGGAACGGGAGAAACGGTGGGGAGTGGTACGGGAGAGGTACCTGTAGGTGACGGCAGTGCTGGCCCGTGAAGAGAGCAGAGAGGATGGGCGTCACACCCACACATGCCACACAGCTACCGTCTGAAGGGGCAGAAGCGGAGGGGGAAGGTGAAGAGAAGGGGAGCGGAAGGGAGGTCCTGGGGCGTCTCAAGGCAGTGTTGAGTGAAGAGAGCAGAGAGGATGGGCGTCACAACCACACATGCCACACAGCTGACGTCTGAAGGGGCAGAAGTGGGGGGGAAAGGGGGGAGAGGAGGGGGGAGGAGGGGAGAGAAGATAAGAGGATGGGTAGAAGAGAGTTCTTGAGTCGTTTCAAGACAGTGTTGGGAGGTGAAGGACGGAGGGAGCATTGGCGCCACACGCATAGCGCATGCCACAAACCCATAAAGCATGCCCATGCCCATGCCCATGCCCATGCCCATGCCCATGCCCATGCCCATGCCCATGCCCATGCCCATGCCCATGCCCCATGCCCATGCCCATGCCCATGCCCATGCCCATGCCCATGCCCATGCCCATGCCCATGCCCATGCCCCATGCCCATGCCCATGCCCATGCCCATGCCCCATGCCCATGCCCATGCCCATGCCCATGCCCATGCCCATGCCCCATGCCCCATGCCCATGCCCCATGCCCCATGCCCCATGCCCATGCCCATGCCTCTCTTGGTGTCCACCCCATCCCCCCTGATATGTACGGCCCGCCCACAGCCCTGGCTCACCAGCGGCCATGACGGGCAGGTGCGAGAAGCCCCCCCAGTCCATGTGCCGCAGCGCCTGCAGTAGACACGCGTGCAGCGGGACAGTCACGGGGGCGTGCGTCATGGCCTGTTGGTAACGAGTGGGGAAAGTGGGGGAGGAGAGGCGGTGGTCTGAGAGGTGGTGCGAGAAGCCCCCCCAGTCCATGTGCCTCAGCGCCTGCAGCAGACATGCATCGAGCGGCACAGTCACGGGGGCGTGGGTCATGGCCTGGCGGGAAGAGGGGAGGGGGGAAAGTAGGGGAGGAGAGGTGGAGGGTTGAGAGGTGGTGAGAAGAGCAGAGGAGAGCACAGCAGAGCAGAGGAGGAGCAGAGCAGAGCAGAGCGGAGAAGCCTCTGGAGAAGCAACCACCTGACGTGGTCTCCTGTATTTGAAAACCTATGGGGGCCTCGCCTGTGAGGCAGGGCTGCTGACCTGGTCAACGAGCACGTGGGTGGGGTGGGGTCCAACAAACTCCACAAACCAGCAGCTATGACGCGCGGGAGACGAGTGGAGCAGAGCGAAAGAGCGAAGAAAAGCGAGTGACAAGACAACCTGTCACCCATGGGGGCTTGTTTTGAGACGTCTCAAAGCGAGTGACAAGACAACCTGTCACCCATGGGGGCTCACCTGCTCTACGAGCACGACACTGGGATCCAAGCCAGCAGCGATGACACGCAGGAGAATGTCGCGCGATCTGGCAGCAGGGGGTACATGGAGGGGACACGAGGCAAGGTAATGAGGCGGGGGAGACGATAGAAAGGCTGGGAAAAGACACGTTGGGGGGGGGGGTATGAGACGGGGGTAGCTCAGTGCAATGCAGCAGTGCAGTGCAGGGTAGTAGAGATTCGGGGGTTGAGATAGAGCAGCGCAGCGTGAGACAGGGCTGCAGAGAGTTTCAAGTTGACATGGAAATTTGAAAAGAGATGAGGCGAGGAGCAGCGAAAGGGAGGCAGGGTAGCGTTGGGGAACGAGAAGTGGGTGGGAGATGGGCGAGAAGTGAGGATACGAGAGGGATGGCGGAGAACGAAAATTCAGGAACTATGGGAGTATAATAAGAACCATGGTAACCATGACTCACGTCAAGATCCCACACACTTCCTTCACCACCGCTCCACGCTCCCTCCCCCTCCCGCTGTCGCTGCCGCTGCTGCTCCGACTGCTACCGCCACTGCTGCTGCTGCCGCCACGGCCCTTGCCGCCACCAGAGCTGCTGCTGCCGCTGCTCCCCCCGCTCCCCCCGTCCTGCTGCCGCTGCTGCCGCAGCTCCCCCTGCTCGTGCGCCTCCTCCCTCTCAAGCTCATGCGCCCGCGCCTGCGCGGAGTCACATTGGTCGTAGTCCGATACGAGCACGGCCGTGACGCCGTGTTTGCGCATCGCCTTGGCTGCTGCTGCCACAGTGTCCGTTGTGCGCACCGCCGCGGGCCTGAGGCGCGCGCGGAGAGGAGACGTGGGGGGGGGAGGGAGGGCGGGGGGAAGAGGGTTGTGGGCAGGAGGGGGGGGGGGGGGTGGGCGGGTTTACAGGGAGCAAGCAGCCATGTGGGTGGGTGAACCCTAATATGAAAGGGAGAGGAGAAGGTGAGGTGAGAGAGCGAGAACTAGAGCGAGAGCTAGAGAGAGAAGAACAGAGCGAGCGAGCGCGCGCGCACCTTGTGTGTGGCGCCAAGAGCGCGGCCATGGCTGGGCGCGTGACGCCGTCGCACAGCGCGCGGAGAATGCCTGTACGCGGCACGGGCGATGGAGGGGAGAGACGGTAGATGCGGAGAACGAGAGGGGCTAGAGAGACAGAATGACGCCGTCGCATAGCGCACAAAGATTGGTTGCATGCAGCACGGGCGATGCGAGGCAGTGGGGGAGGGAGGGGGAGGAGCGACAGGGAGGGCAGAGAGAGAGGGAGACCGGGAGAATACGGGATAGACGAGTGGAAAAGAGTGAGGGGAGTGAGAGACTGAACACGGCTGCAGATGCAAATGTCCTAGCGACGGAAAGAAGGGAGCAGAAACGGAGCACAAACGGAGAAGAAACGGAGCAAGCCTCGTCAGCGCAACGCACCAGCAGCCGCACCGTCGCTCCCTCCCGTCCGTTCCGCCTCTTTCAGTGCTTCCGCCACATCTGCGCCCTTCCCCCGCACTTCCTCCGCGCGCAGCAGCGCCTCCGCCAGGCAGCTGCGCACGGGGAGCATCGCCACCACCTCCCCGCCGTCCACCACGGGCAGGTGTCGAAACTTTCCTGCGGGCAGCCGAGAAATGCAGCAAGTGGAACGCGAATCGGGGGATGAAATGGGCAGGGAGAGTGACAGCGTTGACAAGCAAAAACCGGCAGACTGTGGTGGAGGAAAAACAGATGCGGGGAGCTGGAGGGATAAGGAGGGAGGAGAGGGGAGGTGGGTGGGGGAGGGGGTCCCCGGGCGAAGGGGCGAAGACGGGAAAGGCTGCGGAAGCTAAAATTTTGAAAAGAGTGCGGATGAGGGGGAGGTTGTGCGACGGCAGCACGAATCCCGCCTAGGCGGAAACCGATATAGAGCGCACCCAGCATCCCGTGCCGTTGCGCCCTGTGTTTTGCGCGATTGCGGCGTTGCGCCTTGCCCCTTGCGCCTACCGTTGACCATTTTCTTCAGCGCGACAGCGGCGGGCGCGTGCAGCGACACGAACTGCGGATCGCGCGTCATGACCGCGTGGCACGGCGTGGATTGCGGGGAGCGCCCCTCCCCCACGCACCGCTCCGCCACGTCGCGGTCCGTCAGTATCCCGCACAGCATGCCGCTCTTGGCGTCCGTCAGTAGACACGCGTCCACGTGGCGGGCTGCCATTCGCCGGCTCGCTTCCGCCACAGTGCAGGCGTCCGCAAGGATGAGCGCGCGGACGAGCGCAAGGTCGCGGACGAACTGGCGCGCGGGGCTGAGAGGGGGACGAGTCGGGGGACCAGGGAAAAAAAGGGGGAAGGGAAGTCGGGGAAAAGGGGGGGTGGGGGGAAAGGACAGAGGGTGGATGAAGATCAACGGACGAGAGGAATCCATGCGAACGCGAAACGGGAGCAAGCGATTCAACAGAATCTTAAACGGGACCCCGCATTCACTAATGGCGCGCGGAAGCGCGGAGCGGAGAGACGGAGGGCCAGAGTTACGGGGAGGGAGGGAGAGAGAGAGTAGGGAGAGAGGGGGGGAGGGTTGGGTGGGGGGACGGAGGGAGTGCTGCATGGAGGGAGGAGTGGGGCCGGAACGCCACGCGCTATCAGGTTGCCGCTTAGAGGAGCAAACACTGATACCCGTCTCCTAGCCGTTGATCGCCGCACTAACGAGCTAGTGAGCTAGTACTCTAGGAGCACACTCTGTCTTCCACAGATCTCCGCACCGCTGTCTGCTACCGCCGCCACTCTTCTTACAAGGCACATTCGAGGCATCAGTGCACCCCTGCGTCTCGTCCCCGTGGTTACCTTTCCTGCTCCGTGCCCTCGTGCTGCTGCGAGGACTCCTCGTGTCGCCCGTCTTTAACGCTGGTCTGATTCGGATTCGTGGCGGCTCGAGCACCAGCATCAGTATCAGCGTCAGCGTCACCACAAACACCCGCAGTAGAAACAGCAACGTCGGAAGTGACAGTACGAGTATTAGAAGCTGGATCGCGGAGGCTGTTAGTAGGCGAGTGCGCATCTGCCGCCGCACTCGACGGCGACGACGGCGGGGTCAGTTCAAGCGCGGTGCTGCTACCAAACCCGCCGCTCCCCCGGGCCCTTCTCTCCGCCGCTCCTCCCGCACCCGCGCCGCCGCCGCCGCCGCCGGCTTCGCCGTGATTCGCGGTGCAGTCGTCCGTCCAGCCGTACGCGGCGTGGTGCATCGCGACAGCATCGTGAACGATGCTCGGCGACGCGGGGAGACGAAACGGCGTCTTGTAAGGAGAGGTGGAGAAGTTGGTACCGCGCGGACTACTAGCGCGAGGAGAGCCAGCAGTAGTAGGTGGCAAGGGTGTGCTTTCTGATAAGGCGTCGGACACAGATAGCGCGTGGCACGGCGGCATCTTTGCATGAATTCGACGCTCTGTTCGGAATCCTTGGATCTTTCACTTGGCTTGCGCAGTCGACGAGATCGATTGTGCTTGTTTTGGATGATAAGGCTAGTGTGGGCTGGAGTAGGCTTCCTTCCAAGTAACACCCCCCATTGGCAGCCGACTTGTTTTCTTGCCGCCTGCGCTGCACCGACTTGCTCTGCCTCACAGCGAGTCTCACGAATCACAAAAGAGCCGCACTATTTCGCTGCACGAATCTACTACAGTGTTCTTTGTTCCAGCGCATGCGCCCTCCTGCGCGCACTCAAACCTGGGTAAAATCCCCCCAGAACGCTTGGCCCCCGAACCCGAACCAGTCCTATCAGTTCTGTGTCTAGTGCAGCCGAGCCAGACCAGCGCGCGCTCAAAGCCTCTAGGCTGGCTCGACAGAGCCTTGATTCTGGTTCAGCGGAGCCAGAGCGGCAGCTTTACAAAGGCCGAGCCTCCAGCTAACGCCCAACAAGCGGATGTTGAAGGGCAACAGGGGGATGGGAGGGGGAAGGGAAAACAGCAGATTGAACGTTTGCAGCTAATCAGCGCGATTCGGGGAATTTACCCACATGGACAAGTCAGCAAAGTCACGGCCTCTGATGGGCTGAAGCCAGCGTGCAGCATTGCTGGCCCAATGCCACGAGGGGTGGAACGTTGGGTTCCGCCAGCGCATGCTTGCGCTTTCACACGTGGAGACTACTAAGAGGAGGCACTTTCTCGCAGATCAGATCGGGATGGAGCCGCTGCGACAAGCGGCATCTTCTGTTCTGTAGAGAAGTCTCAGATTGCATTGCATTAGCTTCAGTACACCTGAGAAAAGAATACACGTCAATTTTCTTTATGTTAGCATTTTCAGTAGTCAGTCTGCATTGTAAACTGGGATGTGCTGTGTCTTTAGTGACCACCATAAACTGCTTCACTGTTTTCTAGCGAATTCACAATAATGAGAGGACCACTACTGTTATTTGATATCATTTTTTAGCCCTTTGTGGTTTACTATTGTTTCGCTTTGTGAATCAGCATAGCCACAAAGAGTAAGGCAGGCATTTTAGTATCGATCCTAACAAGTGCACTGAGCACCTCTGTGCTGCCTACAGTTGGTTGGTCAGCTAACTATACAAGCAACAGCGGCACTGTCACTGCCTAGTACTCGTACAATTGGGATGGGAGCAAGCGACGTGCAGATGGTGACTGACAGAACACAGTTGCCCCCGTGAAATCACAGGTTGGAGCGGTAGCAAAGAGAGAAAAGAGGAACTTGATAATCATACATAAAATCTAACCGGATTGCGGCAGGCACTTTCCAAAGCCTACGGTATCGCCCCTTCTGGGGCCCACACACATATGCAACAGCCCCTCGTCTCTCCTCATACCAAATTTCCTCCCTTGCCTCTCCCAGGTTCATCCAGAACAAGCAACCGTTGGCTTGCTGAAGCTGAAGCTCCTAAGGCCTATGCCCTCCTCAGCTGCACCTGACTGGACTCCCAACATCAAATCGAATCAAATCAGCCCCAGAAGCTTCTGGTGGGCGTGGGGAGCGTGACGCTCTTAGTGGCGGGGACTTTGGGCGGCTGCTGGGGCTCGTTGGCGGGCGTGGGCTGCAGGAAGCGGAAGTGCGGGTCGCGGCGAAGCTCAGGAGGCAGAGGCACCTCTTCCAGGTTGATCTCCCCCATGGATGCGACTAGATCCGTGATGGCGAAGGGCACACTGGGGTGGGGAGGGGAGGGGTGTAGGGAGGGAATGTTGGTGTCACATTAAGATTCCCCAAAGGCAGCCGCGGCACCTCTTCCAGGTCGATCTCCCCCATGGATGCTACTAGATCCGTGATGGCGAATGGCACACTGGGGAGGGGCGTAGGGAGGGGGGGTGGTGGTGGGTGGGGTGGGGTGAGTGGGAATGACACTGTTGCCTGGGTTGTTTTTATCATCTTTGAGCATCTCAGCATCGTCATCATCCGCCAGCTCGCTGAGCTCGTAGCTCACATCGGGGTCAACGCACATGCACAAACACACGCGGCAGGCTCGCTTGCAAACCCCAAGCCACCCTCTTCCTATAACACACCTCTGGTCATCCTTGAGCATCTCAGCATCGTCATCATCAGCCAGGTCGCTGAGCTCGTAGCTCACATCGGGCTCAAGCCCACATGCACAAGCACAAACAGCAGGCTTGCATGCAAACCCCACGCCCCCCCTGCACCCCTCCCCACTCTCTCTCACCTCTCATCGTCCTTGAGCATCTCAGCATCGTCATCATCCGCCAGGTCGCTGAGTTCGTAGTTCACATCGGGGTCGAAGCCCAGGGTGCCGTACTTCTCGTCCTGGTACCAGAGGCAGATCTTGCCCAGCTGCTTGCCGTTCAGATCGGGGCACAGCTTCCTCACGTCGTCCACCGTCGCCCTGTGCTTGTTCTTCATCGTCTGGGGGAGGGGAGGGGAGGGGAGGGGAGGGGAGGGGGCGGAGTTGGCAGAGGGGGAGGCGGAGGAAGAAGAGCAGAGGTGAGGAGTGGTGGGGTGTTTGAGTCGACTCAAAAGTCGAATCATTTTCTCCACTGTCCTGTGCTTGTTCTTTATCATCTGGGGAAGGGGGAGAGGGAGGGGTGGGGGAGGGGGGAGCAAAGGGAGCGGAGAGGAGAGGAATGGTGGGGCCCCGAGGGAGAGGTTGGTTGGGAAGAGGACTGGTGAGGGGAAGGTGCACGTGAGTTTGAAGGAAGAGCTACAGCACATCCGGTGCGCAGCATCGGTTGGGGTGGGTACCGCTCTTGAGAAACGCTTCAAAAGGAAGGCAGCACGAGAGGGTGCGGAGGAAAGAACAGGAGCCGGGAAGGAGAGCCCAAGTGTCAGGTAGTGGGTGCCAGGCTCTGATGGGGGGAATGGGCGGGGGTTCTCACCAGCAGCAGCACAGCCTGTCGGACCCGGTAGCCCCCCCTGAGCGCGCTTGGCATGACTCATCTCCAGGTCTGTGAGCCAGCGGTCCAGCTTGCCCATGCCCTCCTCTAGGAGTTGAGTTTGTTTTGTAGAGTTCTTATAAGCCAACCAGTCTTACCAGCAGCAGTGCAGCCTGCCTGACATGGCACAGGCTGTCTTTGAGGCCTGGTAGCTCCCCCTGAGCGCGCTTGGCATGACTCATCTCCAGGTCTGTGAGCCAGCGGTCCAGCTTGCCCATGCCCTCCTCTATCGTCTCCCCGTTGCTGAAGTTGCACGGACACCACTGGCTGCGCACCATGAGACTGTAAGGGAGAGGAGGCGGGTGGGGAGGAGTGTGCAGAGTGCAGTAGAGGGAGGGGAGGAGTGTGCAGAGTGCAGTAGAGGGAGGGGAGGTAAGGGTATGAAAGGAGCACATGCCCTCCTCTATCGTCTCCCCATTGCTGAAGGTGCACGGACGCCACTGGCTGCGCACCATGAGACTGCGGTGGGTTGAGGAGCGGGTGAGGGTGTAAGGGGGAAAAGGGCAAGTAATAGATTAGAGACCCCTTTGTATTGTACCGGTGTTGCTACACGGACAGCACTGGCTGTGCACTGTCAGACTGGGGTAGTGAAGGGGGACTGCAGGGAAAAGAGTGGTGTAGGAGGGAGGAGGGAGGAGGGAGGAGGGAGGAGGGAGGAGGGAGGAGGGGCGGTGGAGGGTACTTAGGGTGGGTTAAAGAGGACGGATAGCATAGCACCACTGGTTCCACGTGGCCACAAGTGTAAACCATCCCACCCATGACTCACCCAGTAGTACATCCCATTCACACCCACCCGTGCCCCACTGTCATACCCCACCCTGATCACAACCACCACCCCTCTCCCTCCTCCCCTGCATCCCTCTCCTCACCTGTTGAACACCCGCAGGTCCACATAAGACAGCAGCTGCCTGAGCACGTGCTGAATGAGGAACACGGGCACGTGGTTATCCTCCAGTGCAGCCACCATGTGCCCCACGGTCTCCAGCACGTTCCCCCAGTAGTCCAGCATCTGCCTCCGCATGCTGCCTGCCGAGCGCGGCAGGGA